AAGTGTCTCAGATCACAACTCAACAAAGGGACTTCACCGGGAGAATACAAGTCAACAAGGCAATAGGAATCACAAGATCAAGTTTGAAGATACAGATAGGATTTTTGTAATGTATAGATCATAGTTTAGTCTAGCTTCTTTTATTTTGTCATGGTGTAATAAGGAGGTCAGTAAGCAATAGCAGCAATAGCAGCAACAGTGAAATCACAGCTTCATGGTAGTCCCAGCTACCAAAACTTTCTGAACTACACTGACCTGATTCCTTTATAGTCAAGGATATGTAGGCAACCTCAGAAGCAGGGTGCGGTCAAACCATTCAAAAATGCTTCTCACGGAGTATTCACACGGGCAAAAATCGCTCGTATATGCTCACTTTATCTTTGCACGAAAACTCTTCGTGTTCCCGAGTAAAGAGGGGCAACTGTGAGCACGTGATTTTTGCCCTACATGAAAATAACTCCTAAAAATAGATTTTTATTGATTTTAGGAATTTTTCTTTATTTATTTGCATTTCATGCATTTTTAATATTAAAATCATAGAAAAAATCCTAAAAATTATCATTTTTACATATTTAACTTTTAGTCTTTTAAATTAGCATTTTTCTTTAGTTTTAAGTTAATTAGTTGTTTTAATGTTAAAAATAAATAAAGAATTTTAATTTCTACAAAAATAGATTAATTAATTAAAGAAAAGAAAAAAGTAGAAAGGGAAATTAGGAAGAATATATGTATGTTTTGTTTCTTTTAAAATACTTGGCTTGAGCCAATTTCTAAAAAAAAGGGGCCCAATTTCCCTCTTTCTTGACCAACCCAATACCATACCCAAATACCTATTACCCTTTACCCTAATCCCTCACATAAAAGGAGACCTAATACACTAAAGAGAGATCAGATTTTTCCATATTGAGGCCTCTTAACAACAAAAACGACGCTCTCATCTTCTTAAGAAACCAGAAAACTTTTAGGAGCCATCACCCCCAATTCTCTCAAAGAACAGACCCTTCTCCTACACCTACGAAGCTACCGTACCTACTAAGGGAAAAATTGAGAAAAGAAGACCTTTATTGAATTGGTAAATCTGCAGTCTCAAAACTGAAGAGAACATATAGAATACAAGTCATTTTATGTCGATCCTTGCTCAAAATTTACATAAAAGAAGCAGTGTTGTTTCCCATCAAATGGAAAGTTCTCTCATTCATATTTCTGGGTTTTCAAAATGGGTTTCGCTCAAGGTTGAGGTTGTATTGTTGTTTGTTTGTTAATAGCTGAGCTCCATCTGCAGTTTTCTGATCTTTATTTGGTCATAATTTCGGTTCTCTTTTATTATTCCAGGTATTTTACCTATGACCTTCTTTGTAACTTCAGAGCATGTTAAGTATAATAGCACGACATGATTGTATTGAAATTGGAAGTGTCCTGGTGTATTTCACTTGATGAATTTTGAAGGCGGAAACTAATTTTCAATTTCTGTTTGCTTGGATATATTTATTTAGGTTGTTTAATGAATTAAAGTTGGTTGAAATCGCCTGAATGTAATATGTGTGAGTTAAGAATATGTATTAGTTCCTGTTGTTGCTTTGATTTGATAATACTGCTTGGCCAATCCAGACCAAGACCGGAAGGTAAATTTATTAGCTCTAATTTTTTCCTATTTTCTCTAACTGACAGTGTGTGTTTTCTATTTTCGTTAAGGTTAGTGACCAATTTGTATTTAATGGTTGGTTTTGTTGACGAACTCAAGCTCATGTAACCTTAGGATCACTGTTAAATTTCTTCATTTTTGTCACCTACACTACTACTAGTAAATATTGAATAACTACTTTGATTGCTTCCTGCTGCTTTACTATTCCTAAATACTTGAACTCAAAGCTACATTTTTCTTTATTACGTTAAATCAGTATTCTAGTACATCACTTTGATAAAACTTAGTGTTATCTCCTATTATATTCCATAAACTCTCGGCCTTGCTTTAGTTGAGTACAATCCCTTGAAATTAGAATCGAGGTGTGCCACCTAGTTGAATTTCCATGGCCCTCGCAAACTTGAAAGTGCATAGTTGCTTTATGTGTGTTATTTTAAAAAGTTACCTTCCTAAACTTGGGTATGCATTTCATGTGACCCAACTTCAATTCCCAACAACGTTAAATAAAATGTGTCATGGACCACAGGTGCATTTCATGTGACGTGGTTCAAGACGTGTTTTAAATGACGTTGAATCTTCCTGAAAATCGGTTTAACTTAATAAAAAGCGGTTCTAAAGCTAAAAATGCACAATAGGTTTTAAACGTGTAATTAAATTAGATAATTAGGCCAATAATAATAGTTGAGCGACCGTGCTAGAACCACGGAATCTGGGAATGCCTAATACCTTCTCCTGGGTTAACAGAATTCCTTACCCGAATTTTTGTGTTCGCGGACTGTAATACAGAGTCAATCTTTTACTCAATTCGGGATTTGAATCGGTGACTTGGGACGCCATAAATTTTCCAAGTGGCGACTCTGAATCTTTTAATAAATAATCCCGTTTTGATTGTCAATTAAATTGGAAAAAACTCCCTTATACCCTTCCAGGGCTAGGAAAAAGGAGGTGTGACAGTAACTCAAGCAGGATTTCAATGTAGAGCAAAGCAAGCAGGCAAAGGCGCGAACAAACCTTCCCGTAAAACTTACAATTTTTCTTTGGATGCAGGAACAAGAAATAACCACCAGTATGTGCGCACCTTAGAATCAATGTCTTCATAACAACAAAGCTACCGAACTCAAACATATCTCCAGCTAAGAAATACTCTGCTATCACTTATTGTCTATCCATTGCACGAGACTAAGCATTGTCTCCTCTTCCTGCATAAGGCTAAGCCCTGCCTCCCCAGCTGCATAAGGCTAAGCATTTCCTTTCATTGCATGAGACTAAGCCTTGTCTCCTAATTGCATGAGACTAAGCCATGCCTCCTATTTTGCATAAGTCTAAGTACTGCCTTCCACTGCATGAGACTAAGCATTGTCTCCTCTTCTTGCATGAGGCTAAGCCCTGCCTCCCCAACTGCATAAGGCTATGCATTGACTTTTATTGCATGAGACTAAGCCATGTCTCCTAATTGCATGAGACTAAGCCCTGTCTCCTATTTTGCATAAGGCTAAGCACTGCTTTCCACTGCATGAGACTAAGCATTGTCTCCTCTTCTTGCATGAGGCTAAACTCTACCTCCCCAACTGCATAAGGTTAAGCATTGCCTTTCCCTACATGAGACTAAGTACTATCTCTTATTTTGCATGAGGCTAAACCATGCCTCCTCAATTGCATAAGGCTAAGCATTACCTTTCCCTGCATGAGACTAAGCACTGTCTCCTAATTGCATGAGACTAAGCCTTGTCTCTTATTTTGCATAAAGCTAAGCCCTGCCTCCCCAACTGCATAAGGCTAAGCTCTGCCTTTCCTTGCACAATACCGAATGCTATGCTACTTGAAATCTAGCACTATTTTTGCTTTCCTAGGGCTAAGCTCTGCCCCAATCTTATGCAAGACTAAGCTCTGTCTTGTTTCGATTCTCATATGACCCAGTATCATAGCCTTGCATCTCATTGGCTAAAACATCGCCATCTTATCCAAAGACGTCATAGTCCGAAGGCATCATCCTCATATCCTGAAGACACCATGTCATGGCCTGAGGATCTCTCAATATTGCATATCATTATTCAAAGGCGTCATAGTTCAGAGGCACCATTCTCATGGACCGAACACATAATTTCATAGCTTGCGAATCCCTTATCTCATGATTCATGGCCAAGGACGTCATGGTATAAGGACATCATTCTCACCATCCGAAGACAATTTTCATGGTCCAAAGGGAATTTGCATCATGTTTAAGTCGTCGCAATAACCTATATATATTTGCGTGCATCATGTTTCAAGTTTTGCAGGTAATCTAGGAAATAACCGTTCTTCAAACGGGAGCAACCTTCGCTCCGGTTTCCACTCATATCATTCACACCTTGCCGTTACTTCAAACGTAACCGACTTCCATCAATTACTCGCTTTTACTCTATGACCGTTCAGATATCTGCCATGTGATACATCCATAACATCTCAAATTCACATTCGTGACTTTGCATAAATTCATCCGATACTATCCTACTCAAAAGGAACCTTTCTGAACATGACCATTCTTATAACAACATCATCGGTTTCGTTCACCGTTGGATCCAGAACTACACATGGCTTGATTCCTGTAAAACTAGGGATATGTTGGTAGCTCAAAAACCAGGGTTCGACCTATATTTTTCAAAACCGCTCCATTCGGTCAAAATCAGTCATTATTTCTTTACCCGACAACTCTTTCATCCTTCCCGGATAAAGAGGGGCAACTGTTGATACCAAAATTTTCCCTCATATTTTCCATATAT